TTTTGTCATGACTGAAAACAACATTAAAGGGGAATTAAACTTGAAATTAAAAAAACCACTGAAAGGTAGCCCCTGTTGGTCTCTTCTGTATAAATGCTTCCCCCTTGCCTGTCAGGGTAAGGGGCACTGAGCCATCTTGCGGTCCCTCTGTCCCGTTATTTAACCCCGGCGATGGGGGTGGGGTGATGTCAGCGCCTGGCACTAAAGATCCAAACCGTCAGAACCAGAAGGAAAAAATTGAGAGAAGTGGATACACCTGGTACCAGTGTGATCACTGACAGCCCCGCGCTGGAGGATTCATTTACAGATAAGTCGCAAAAAGGGGTAATAGTGGTGCTAGGAAGTATTTGGTAAAAACCACCTGGGGTCCAATTTAAAAAAATAGAGAGAGTTATTTTGCTTTAAAATTTTACAGAACATTTTTAAAATGATATTAATTTTAGTGTTTTAGAAACGGGTTATACTCCCTTATCTCCCCACAGTTAAATTTTTGAGCATATTGGCAAAATCCGGGATGGCACTGTCACTGGTATTGGAAGAACCTACCTTTCCCATTATCACTGACTTTAAAACCCAACCAAGATTCCAAGAAAATTTTTAAAATTTTCTAAAAGGGTTAGAAGGCATTTTAAAATTACCTGCGAGTAGCAACCCGGGGCTCGCCAAAAACTGGAAAAGTGCGGGTTTTTTCCTTAAAAGCGAAGACCAGTTTTAGGGTGGAGTATTACTGAAAGGGAAGTCTAGCTAACTGAAATTGGGGGAAGGAAGCGATAGAAACTCTCGCTATACCGGGTTTATCTTTTTTTTGATTTTTTAGATGTAACTATCAGTCATTATAGCTTAACACAACATTCTTTGTTTTTCTGATCCCTCTGTAACACGTTCATTCCCGGGTGGCCCCCGGGTCAGTAAAGCCCCCCAAGATTTAAAAAATTCAACTAGTTCACAGGAACCAACGAATTTTGCCCCTTTAGGGGCAGGCGGTTTGTACTGGGTTTTTGGGTTTTTACAATCATTTGCCCCCCTAGAACACAAAGAGATGCAGGGGGATTCCCCCTCAAAAAATGACTGCTTTAAAACGGGGAATAAAGCTTTTTCTTTCTTTAAACCCCAGGGTTTTAAAAGCTTTTTAAATTTGCTTAAGTGTTACAAAACCCAAAACAGTAAAATCAGTTGTATAACAGTAAAGCTTTTTTTGTTATACTCACTGTGGAACCTAAGGGGTACCGTATTTTTGCACCATAAGACCACTTTTTTCCCCCCCAAAAAAGGGGGGAAAATGTCAGTGCGTCTTTTGGAGCGAATGTAAAACGGCCGGGCCGGGATTTTTGCCGCCACCATGCAAAAACCGGGGCCGGCCCCATTTTTCTCCCCGCAGGGGCCCTTACCTGTTCCTCGCTCCCGCGCTGCACAGTCTTCCCGCCGGGTTCTGTGACAGCCCGGGGCCCACTGCGCTGTGCTGCGCTTGTGAATGATCCGGTGTCTTCGGGGACACATGAAAGGTCACAGAAGGCCCGGGCCATTCAAAAAGCGAAGCGCTTCTTGCACCTGCGCAGTGGGCACCCGGCTGTCACAGAACCCGGGCCCGGGAAGAAGAGGGAAGGCAACTCCGCGGAAGTGGGAGCGGGTACCTGTCAAATTCAGGTACCCGCTCCCCCTCCCCCCCCAAAAGGGTCGCAGTCTCTGGTCATCCCTTCACTGTCTGCAGTCTCTGGTCATTCCCTGCACTGTCCGCAGTCTCTGGTCATCCCCTGTACTGTCCGCAGTCTCTGGTCATTCCCTGTACTGTCCGCAGTCTCGGTCATCCCCTGCACTGTCGGGCAGTCTCTGGTCATTCCTGTACGTCCGCAGTCTCTGGTCATTCCCTGCACTGTCCGCAGTCTCTGGTCATTCCCTGCACTGTCCGCAGTCTCTGGTCATTCCCTGCACTGTCCGCAGTCTCTGGTCATCCCCTGCACTGTCCGCAGTCTCTGGTCATTCCCTGCACTTGTCCGCAGTCTCGGGTCATCTCCTGCACTGTGTCCGCAGTCCCGGTCATTCCTGTACTGTGTCCGCAGTCTCTGGTCATCTCCTGTACTGTGTCCGCAGCTCTGGTCATCTCCTGTACTGTTCGGGCAGTCTCTGGTCATCTCCTGTACTATGTCCGCAGTCTCTGGTCATCTCCTGTACTATGTCTGCAGTCTCTGGCCCATCCCTGTACTGTCCGCAGTCTCTGGTCATCCCCTGTACTATGTCTGCAGTCTCTTGTCATCTCCTGTACTTTTGGTCCGCAGTCTCTGGTCACCCCCTGTACTATGTCTGCAGTCCATTGGTTCAGAATATTTTTTTTTTCTTGTTTTTTCACCTCAAAAAACCCTAGGTGCGTCTTATGGTCAGGTGCGTCTTATGGAGCGAAAAATACGGTAATCCTCTGCAAATTTTGTGAAAAGACTGTTTTGATACTGTCTTCTCTGATCCCCCCTTCTTCCAGTCTCCCCCTCTTATCTCCTGAAAAGACATATCGTGTGAGCCCCCTGCACAGGGCTAGGTTTGGTTTTTTGGGGAAAATTGCTAGAGAGGTTTTGTTTTTTTTTTGGGGTCCCATGTAAATCACGAAATTCCCCCAATCAGCACTGTCCAGACGAAGTCGGGTTTTTCTGAATCCTCCTAAGCAATTTGAAAACTTCCCCCCCTACAGGTTTTCAATGGGGTGCTCTACTGGACACGGGACAGAATAAACAAGATTTCTTAATTTGCTGATGGGGGGAAAAGGGAATTTACAGTTTTTTTTTACTAAAATAATTGCACTTCGGGTTATTGGGGGACCAAAATTTAGTGAATCCCGGGAACCCTGGGTTTAGTAACACTTTAAGCTGTAAAATTAGGTAGGCACCTCCCTTTGGGGTTTTAATTGTGTCCCTTCTTCATTCTTGCCATGCCCCGGGTAGGGTGAAACAAAATGTATTTAAGGGAAAAAAGTTGAGTTATTCTCATGGGGGATGTAGTACAAGTGGATCTATAAATAGGTTTTTTCCCTGTTTTTAGTTAAATAATTTCAAGTACCAGGGCCTTCAAAGCTATATCCCTTTTTTTTTAAAAAAAAAGTTTGTGAATTGAATGTGACTGATTTTTTCAAAGTTTGTTTTAATAGGGTCTTGTTTACTGGGGGATTTTTTGTGACTTTTGGGGTTTTTTAAAGGGGTTTGGGGTAAAAATCCCCTAACCCATGATTCGATTAGCCCAATTTAAATTGGGGGGGCATAGGGGGACATTAGGCAAAAAATCTGCAACCACAAACAGCATTGTTTGTACACAGGGCATGTTTATGCCCCGAACTACGTATACCCCTTGGAAGGGGCCCTCTAATTTAGGAGGATTTTTGTGTTTAGTTATAGGTTTCCCAGGGGGGTATGGGGTCGGCATGGTCCCAAACTGAATTGGCGAAAGGGCCAAAAGGGGCCCCCAAATTTTTTTAAAAAAGGGGTCAAAAATCTTTCCCAAGAAATTTAAATAGACTTTTTATTTTAAAATTTAAATATTTTGGAAGAAAATTAGAAAGTTTAAAAAATTCCCAAATAGATGATTTCTTGCTGGAAAAAATTTTTTAAAGCAACAGACAGCTTTGGATTCATAAAAAGGCAAAGTTGTCAAATAAATATTTCTTTTTCTGAGGGGGGGGGAAAAAAAAACTTGGCCCAGGGGGGTTTTTCTTTTGGACCGGGGTATATTTGGGAAATTTTGAAAAACTTTTTGACACAATTCCCTGTAGAAAAAGTCACAGGTTTGGGAAAAAACCTTTATAAAGGGTTAGAAAACAACTAAAAGATTGTTTTCAAAGAATTTTGATTAATGTTTTTCACACAAATGAAGGGTTTCTAGGGTTGTCATGGTGTCCCCCAAGGGTTTCCCGTTTTGGGGCCCCTTATTTTTTTAATATTTTTTTAATAAAAAATTTTAGGATCTGGGATTAAAAAACCCTTTTCATCTTTGCAGATGACAAAAGCTTTTGCAGGGGAAAAACGTCCCTAACAGGAAGTCCCCAACTTACAAGCGACCTCAATGCATGTTAGTTGGCAAACTTTTGTGGCAAGTGGGGGTTTAATTTTTGAAAAATGTAAGGTGATGCATTTGGGGGGCTAAGAAAAAGCATGCATCATACTTTACTGGGGGGGGTAAAAAACGGGGGGGAATTTCAAGGGTTTTTGAGAAGGATTGGGAGTTTTGGCAGATCACAAGTTTTTTTTAATTTGGCATGTAATGTCAAGCTGGGGTTTTTCAAAAGGGGAGCAAAATCCTCTCTTGTTTTAAAAAAGGAAGGTAAAGATCCAAGAGAGGGGGATATCATATTCCCCCGGGGTTTAACAAATCATTAGTAAGACCTCATCGGAATATCAGTTCATTTTTTTGGGCCCCAAATTCCCAAAACAAAAAATTTGGGGGAACTAAGAAAGAAACAGAGAAGGGCAAAAAAAAACTGATAAGAGGCATGGAGGAGCCCCGCTATGGGGAAAGTTTAAAATTAAATAAAATTTTATTTCTCTTGAGAAGAGGAGTTTAAAGGGGGGGATATGATAAAACATGAAAAATACACCCAGTGGTTCAATAGTGAACTTGGTGGGGGAGTCATTACCCTAAAAGTCATCACAGAGGAAAAGGGGGGCACACTTTAATTTCTGGAGGGAAAAGAAATGTAATCTCCAAAAGGGGAAAAGGTTTTTTTCCAAAATGAGACTGTGAAAATGGGGAAATAGATTTCCCCAAAGGGTTTGGTTCGGGGCCAGCCTCAGGGGAAATTGTTTTAAAAAAAAGGCTTCTTTTTTACATTATTATTATTATTATTATTTTTCATACAGGATTTATATACCCCAAAAAGTTTGGGGCCGCGCTTTACAAAATAAAGGGTTTAGACATTACAGTTAAAATACAGTTTGGTACAAGGGGAAAAACCCGAGGGCCTTGCCGTTAGAGTTTAAAATTTCTGGGAGATACACAGAATATAATTGGTACTAACATTTATAGGTATTGTTGATCCCCGGGAATATTGATTGGCCCCTCGGGGGATCGGAAGGAATTTTATTTCCCTGCAGGACAAATTGGATATTTCCTTTTCCCGGGTTTTTTTTGGGCCCTTTCCCCTGGATCAAATGTTTGGGTATTTTTTTTCCTATGGTTGAACTGGATGGACCCTTTTTTCTTTTTTAAACCGACTACCCATGTAACTATGTTAAAACCAGCCCGGTCAGTGAAAGGGCACTTTTAGGGTTAGGCTGGAAGGCTCTACCCCTCAGGGCTTTGGGGCTCACCCCCACCCTTTTTAGAAAAAATGGTACTTTCTAGAAGGGGGAGAGGAGGGGAGGAGGCCCCGGATTTTAAAGTTTTTAGGGGAAACCCGACCAATTTCCCCAGGCAAGAGGTTTTTTTAGCATGGCAAAAATTGAAGTCACAGATAAAATGTATCTCTATTAGCTAATTTCAAAGAGGCAGAAATCAAAAGGCCCAAAAAGAAACAGAACAAATCTGCACACATTTGCAAAAACACCCTGTTGGGGCGATCACAGGTCAGACCCCCCCCTTTCTAACCCCAAAAATCGTGAACCCAAGGACTAGCCTATCTAAAAAACCCCGCTGTCACGTGCTAAAAAATGGGCCCCGCCCACTTCCCCCTGGAACCCCAAAAATTTTCCAGCTAATGGACCACAACCAGTGTGCCCGGGAGCCTGAATCGATTTTTTACTAGGGCAGGTTAATTACCAAATTTTCCCTTCACACCCCCCCGGGCCCCCACCTCCTTTTTTTTACAGAGAAAGAGGGGGAAACCCCGGGAATATCGCAATAAAAACTATGATTTTTTGGGAAAAATCCCTCGGTAAAACCACTGTCACCGGGAGGGAGAGAATACCGAAGTTTAAAAACACACACAGTAGCGCTTTTCAGAGGAGGGATTTTTATTTGCATTAAAGAGCTTTAGAAACAATTCAAAAAATTTCAGAAAAAAAGATTTTTAATAAAAGGGGCAAAAAAGGGGGAATAAAAATATTTTTCGGAAAAAGATGTTGCCAAAATATATATAAAATACAAAAACAATAGAAAAGCAAGAGATAACAGAAAAAAGTTTTGAGGGATAAATATTTCCCCCAGCCTTGAGTTTAAACAGATCGGTTTTTTTAAGCCAAAAAGGGGCTTATCTCCCCCGAGTTAGTTTCCCATGGAAAAAAGGGGGATTCTTTTAACTTCCACTCAGCTTAAAATTAACTTCAAGCATCCCAGTCTTTATTAGGAACTCAGCAGGGGGTTTCCCTGAAGCAGAAACCAATCGCCTCATTTGGGGGGGGGTGTGGAGGCGGAGACCCCAAAACATGACCAAAAAAACCCTCTTGCTTTTTATTATGGGTTTATAACTTACCCTGGGGTACATAAAAACATTTTCTAACCACGGGGTAGGATTTAAAACGCAAAAATCTTTTTGCTGAACTTACATAGAAAAAATGAGGGTACCTGCTTGGGTTTGGGTTTAAGGGGGATTTTTAAAATTTTTTGCTCCCTGGAAAAGCCAGCCCAGGGGGTTTTAATATACCAGGAGACTTGCTTAAAATGAGCCGTCCGAATATGTGCTCCATGTTTATGTAAATTTTGTCCTAAATAAAATAAATAAAAAAATATGGAGGGTGAAAAGTAAAAGTTAAAGTAAGTCGTTTTTTTCGACCCACCTGGAAAAGTCCCTTAATGAAAGGGACCGGGGGCTTGGGGTTTTGGTTTTTCGATCCCCTTTTCCAGCAAGAGTCTCACAGGGCATAGGGGGACCAGCCCAGGTGGGTTTTTTAAACCAAGGGCCCCTCCCAATGGGGTTTTTGCTGCCTGTGAATTTCTGTAATCATCCCGAACATGTCACTCAACAGAGAGGAGCAGACGGGTGTATATGAGTGCGAATCTGCGATTTGTGATTGAGAGAGCAGATCTAATCATGAGAGCGGGTTTTTGGAGCAAAAATGTCTGTCTTTTAATGAGTACCCGGCATCTCTGTGGTGTGATGGCTACAACAAAAAAAAAGGACTGTGAAAAAAAAGTACAAAAAAAAGCTTTACTCTGACATGAATGGAAACCCCTTAAAAAATTGGGGGGAAAATTTTTAGGGCGGGTAGAAATGGAGTTAGTAAAAATGCTGCTGGTTTTATGCCTGGTGGGGGACCCAGAGGAGGGGGCCTGCCTACAGGCGAAGCTGGACAGAAGGACCTCTACTGTCCCATAGTCTACTGAGGAAAGACAGCCTGTTGTTTTTGTATCCTTTTCATTAAGTTGTTTCTCCTCCAAA